TATATATATATATATATATTTATATATATAATTTGTTTTTCAGGAAGACTGAGAAGGAGCACCGACGAACGATATATATATATACATATACATGTATATATATACGTCAGTCGCGTACGGAAGAAAATTAAAGCTAGCCCAATACAACGTTCATTGTTATTCAACCTTTAATGGAGTGAACGACAAACCCTGGAACATCGAAGTTATAGTCTTAACTCTTACATCAAGTCCCGTGCCTTAATAATATTAATATTCTACTAATAGCGTACAATCATCGTAATCGTGTAAACCGTGGAACCCATTCTATTCCATAAAACTGGCTCGTAGGCTAAATTGTATATGTATCCCAAAAAAATCGAGCGATATCGCGTTACCAAATATTCCGGAATATCGAGTATCGCTTCTTCTATCCATCTATCAAGCGTGTAAAGAAAAAGAATCTATTCTAGAACGTTGGATCAATCTTATCCGTAGTAATGAGGGGCGTATTCGTATTGAGCAGGCCAGGAGATGCCCGGCCCCGTCTTGTCGTTATCGTATACGTATTTAATTTTCGGATTGTTGCTCGTTCCGAAAAGAGAGTCTCGCATCATACCGAACATGGCCGTTCCCAGGGCCATGTTGCTGATCATTCCGGCCACCGAGGCGGTGGCACGCGCATGCGCCAGAGCCAATTGGAGCAAGAAAGATAAGACGAGGCCGAACCCTGGCATCATCTCCGACATTTTCGACTTGAAACCTTTGCTCAACGAAGCGGCGGTACCTTTTCTCGACGCGGCCTCGTCCCGTAGACGCGGCAATCGAACGATCAGAGTCGATCCTTCGTCGTTTTCACCTCGTTGGTTTTCATCTCCGTCGATCGCGTTATCCTCGACGCTTTCCACGTCCCTTAAACGTCGCCTATCCCTCGACGAGTATCTCTCCAAAAACGACTTGAAATAAGCTTTAGCTCGTTTCTTCCTTCGCCTCTCCTCCTGCCCCTCGGACAGCTCTTTCTCAAAATCGTACGCAACTCGATCCTTGATTTTCGACTCGTCTCCTCCATTGGGGACTCGTTTCCGAGATTCCAAAGACACGATGTCTACTCGTTTGATCGGTTCTATCGAATCGTTCCTCTCCCTTCCCGAGGATTCGGACGATCGAGAGGAGTCGAGGGACAGCAAGCTCGCTTCCCTCGCGAGTTTGTCGTGTAATTTCGTGCCGAAAAGAACTTCGAAAGCGTTGTACGCATCCTCGGAAGCGAGATACCCGGTGCCTTCGTCCCCCTCCTCCTCCACCGCCACCTCGTCGGAGTCGTTCGATTTGATCTTATCGAGAAACATGGTAATTATCTCGTCGTCGTTCATCGATCTCTTGATACCGATATATCCCTGCCCGTCCTTCAACGATTGAACATCGGATTCCCTCGACGCTTCTATGCTCCTCTCCTTCTTCTCTTTCTCCTTCTTCGCCCTTTCCCCTTCCGGACGTTGATCCAAAACCTCCTCCATTATGTCGCTTATGATGGTCAATATGCTGGGTAGATTCTTGTTGTCTTTCAGCTTGGCCCCTCTCCCCTCTCTGGAGGACGAGGCCGGCCCGGCCCCGTCCTTTCCATAACCCTTGATCTTGAAGTAACCGATACTCGTCTCGAACTTCTTCTCGGTCAACGTTCTGTACAAGTCGAGGAACAATCTCTCGATCGACTCCTTCCTTTTCAACAATTCTTCTTCGAACTCGGTCGTTGACATGGCGAAAAATTCTTGCATCTGTTTCTCCGTTTCGAGGGAAGAACGTGCCGGATCGTTTCGTCGAAACTCGTTCAGAGAACGTCCCAGGATACCGAGACTGGGAAAATTGCTGACGATAAGAGGCCAAACGAAGATGGCTAAACACCTGATGAAGCTGAGACTTAGGATGCAATTCATGGTTTGCGACGCGAGCCCTTTGCTCGATCCTTGCCCGTCCAGATCCTCGACGATCTTCAAAATTTCGTATTGATCCGCCGTCAAAGAATCTCTGATCGTGGAATTCAAATTGTCGACGAGATACTGTTTCGATCTCGAAGAGGATTTCGTTTTCTCCTTAACTCTGATCAACAATCGAAGATACTCGGATTCCGTGATATTTGGGAACATCGGGGTCGACGAAAATCTGCCCGCCGTTTCGTAATCGGTATCGTAATAAGAATCGTGCGACTCCATGGTGCTTCTGCGCTCCCTACGCCCTCCCCTCCCCTCCGATTTCTCCCCTCGCTGAACGATACCGATGGCCGACACGTGGACCTTCTCGCTCGAGATATCTATGGGGATGGCTGTCGGTTGGCCTGCGTACTCGGGGATGATTCCTCCGTTGTCTGAAAGAAAAAAGAAAAGAAAAAAAAAAGGAAAGAAAGAAAGGAAGGAAGGAATCGGAGAAATCTCTTTCATAATCTCTAATAAATATCAATCAACGATTGATTCACCTACTGACGGCGTGTTCGTTGGCTCTCGTTCCTTCGTCTCCTCCTCCTGACCTCCGTTCCCCGGATGACCCTGCCCTTCCGCCTCGCTCAAAGCCGATCGAGAAGAAGAAGCTTCGGTGGAGGACTTGGCGACGTTGGCGATCTGCGAAATTCCTGAAGGCTGGGAGGATCGAGAAGCGTCGGAGGAAGGTTGAGGGATTGCGGATAACGGGATAGCGGCGTTCGGATCGGCAACCAAAGGGGAGAAGAGGCCGGTAACGGTGGAAAGGTCTGGCAAGGAGGAATTGTATCGCTTCAAAATTGGCCAACCGATGTTGCTCACGCAGGTGGCGAAACTGTAACGAGCCGAGCAATCCAGCATTCTCGTCACGTACGACGATCTTTCCGCCTCTGGTATCCCTTCCTCGATCCGTCTCACGATCACCACTTGCCTCTCGCNNNNCTCCCTCCCGTTCCCTCGAACCGCTCGTCCGCTCACCCGGCTTCCTTTCGAGCCCGTGCGGTGGCGATTCTTCGGCGGAGTCGAGCAAAAATTGGAATCGGATGGAGCCGTGCGTCTGGGGCGAGGTCTGGCGGAGGGCGGTGAAATTGGGGAAATCGGGGAGCCAGGGATAAATT